TGAACTCCAGGCATAGAGAAAGGACATAATGTAGCTCTGTATTCGATCATACAACATTACGTGCATTTCTTAATGCAAGCAGTGTAAGTGCATGAATTGTACCTGGTATCGGCCCTGCAGTCAATGTAAAGCAAGGTTGAGAATAGGAGAGAAGCAGCACAAGGAACCAGTCAGTTGTGCTGCAATGCTTAAAGTGACATTAAAGTCAAAGTTTTTTCCCCCCCTTCCCAATCCTGCTGTAGGGACTTACATTAAATGTCTTTTTAATCCGATCATCTTCTTTCCTGTCCTTTTCAGCCTTCTCTCCAGTGCTGGTGCGGGTCTCCGATCCAGCGCTGACTGCTTTGTCCTCCTCATGTCCCACAGAGTCTGTGCGGGTGCACGCTGCTCCAATGACTTACCTTGTGTCTCTCATCGTCTCCCAGCCAAACATCTGAAGGGCGCATGCGCCAGCCCCAAGATTCTTTGCGGCCGCCCGAGACTCTTCAGATGTTCGGACTGGAGCGCTCCTCGAAGACACATGTAAGTTTAACCTCTTGCCGTCCGCCCGTTGTAAAAAAACGGACGGACGGCACTGCAGCATTGGCGGGGTTGGCCATTTTTTTTCTGCTCGCGCGCGCCCCCTAGCGGGCACGCACGGGCACAAAAGACCCGACCATTGCACACACCCGTTACCGGGTGTTTCACATATAGGCGATCAGCCGCTCCATAGCCCGCCGATCGTCTATATGTGCTCGTTCGCGGCCGCCCCCCCATCAAAGTACCGCAGCGCTGAATACTGAAAAATGGCCTGGATGGGAAGGGGGTTTAACACCGCGGATGTCAACTGGTTAAAACACTTTTTAAAAGGTTTTTTTATTTTATGTTTTTGCATAGATCTACTGCTTGCTAGATATATATATATATATATGCAAAAACACGCAAGGGTTTAATAACCCTTTAAGGAGCATGCTGATAGGAGAGCCAAGTTGCGTAAAATCATCAGTCTGCTGCTTCTCCTTTTACTCTCCAATCACAGGCTGGACATTGTTACTGAACTGCAGCTGAGAACAAATCAGGTCTTCTGCCCTTCCAGGTACAACAGCTCCCTTACAGGTTTTTGTAACTGAGAATGTAGCCGTTTGCCTGGAGTTCAGCTTTAAGAAATGAAGGAATTGTGCCATATGATACAAATGACCCGGATGTATTCTGTTCATTTAGTCATTTGAATTGATACATTACACATTGTAGCTGCAGCTAACTTGTTCTCCTAATGACAGATTTCCTTTAAGCCAGCTTCACACCTATGCACACGCACGCACATTGGATGCATGGGTTGTGCATGCATTTTGGGGCTGGTCCAGTTCATTTCTGATCGACCCCCCACCCCTTCCTACAGAGTTGGATTAGAACAGGATGGACCATTGCCAGGGTCAAAGCTTTGACCACCCCATCACCTTGACTGATCTGGATAAGGATTACAGTAGACATGGAGAAGCGGTCCCATTTGGATTATCTGTACTGGCATAGCCCCATTAGACACCAACTGCCTACAAGTACATCCGCCCTTGTCACTTGACAGCTTTGGCCAATTGCGCTATACCCTTGGTTTGTTGCAGGAGCATGAAGGTTGTAATGGGGCCCTTGGGACATTCATCAAACCATAGACTCCTCTCTAGGTCGCCTTGTGGATGATCCAGCACTGGCACCCAATGCACATACTACATCTAGCTGACCCTTTTAATGCACAACACAAAGGAGTGGATACCCAGTGTAGTGTGTTTGATTGGGTAGGGGGGGTCAGGCTTTTTCTGATGAATAGTCACAGGTACCACATCAACTCACGTGATGCCGCATGCATATGTATGAACGGTCAAATAATGTTATCCAGCTAAAGCTTTATGTGAGCTGAATCAGTCTAGCTTTTGTTTTTTTAAAGGTTGATATCCTACAAGGTGGGAGTCAAGGCACCAGAATAAAGCCATCTACTGCAATCAGGTCACATGATCTAAGCTGCCCTGTTTTCGTTTTCAAAAGATGTAGCCTAGGAGAGGTGCTAGTCTGTAACAGGTGATGTAGTCACACGACACTGGGAGGAGCTTACCTCTACAAAGCGCTCAGTAGACATGACCGATGGAGGTAATTTGTTCTTTCTGCCTTTATGGGCATAGGTAAGAGGCGCTGATGTCCCCAAGACTACATCTCCAGTGTACAGTCTGAGCCATAGCGGCACTTGAACTGGCTGAATCACTGCCATGTTATCACAGCATCATCCCCACAGCCTATAGGAACAGTTACGCAGATCAGGACCGGCATATCCTGCCTAATATTAATATCAGGCAGGATATGCCGGTCCTGATCTGTGTGTGTGTTTTTGGTAAGGCACATTGATTAGGTGTAGGGATTGCTACAAATAGAGAAATGCCTCGACTTCCACATTATCTGGTCGGTTACATACCACGCGCCATGTCCCTAAAAGTCTGTACAATAAAATCTCATTGCACTGTTTGTATTTGACATTTACCCGTGAAACCTTTAAACAGGTGACCTGCTGCTTTTAATGATCTTCCAGTACGTAACCCAAAGCTAAAAAAAAAAAAGTGAGCCATGTATTAAATGTGGTGGAGACAGGACTGGGGGGAGAGGGCACCACGGTGTTACCATCCACCCGCATTGCTTCCCATGTGTAACCAATGCTGAATTTAGCTTCATGTGTATCCCAAAGATGCAACCTTAGATTGATTTGTATTGATTTTCTGTATGCACAATAATGCCGCACAAAATGTTCATGTGAAGTTCCAAGTTATGTTCTAACTGAAGAAATCTATTTGTCAATGTATTTTTTAATAAAAAAAGAAAAAGCGTGAAGTAATCTGTCTGCATATTAATGGAGGGAATTGGAGGGGTGTATTTTTGTCATTTTGCAGAGCCATTTGGCCTGCACAACAGCAGTGTGGAGGCAAAAAGGAACACATTCTTAGTAAGTAACTTAGTAACTCACCGCCCAGCTTGCCGATTAGCTGGGAATCCGGCTCCATGCTCCCTCGTCACCAGGTGACGAGGAAGCATGGAAACTGGACATTCTGGTATCGGGAGCATTTAAGCGAGTACTCGTCCAAATACTTGGTATTGGTGCATGCACATTCGTTCTGCGTGCATGAGAACAAAACGAATTATATATTTTCTATCCAGGTTGAAATGTAAAAATCAGGAAAATACCCAATTATGGCCACCAAATGGAGCATAGAAAATAACGGACTTCCTATGATCCTCAGCTCCATCTAGTGGCCACAATGCAGTATTTTCCTGATACTACATTCAGCCTGGATAAGAAACCCCCACACATTTGTCTTTGCTCCCATGTGTGCAGAACGAATGTACATACACCAAATGGCTGCAATTTTTTTTTAGCAATGCACCTCAAATTTTCTAATGTACCAACTAGCATTTGCAGGAGGATGTTGGCAATGGCAGCCTCCATGTTGCTCTCAAGGTATGGTTCCCTTTGATCATATTTCCCATTTGTTATGTCCTAGATATATTGTATATGGCAACAATAAAAAGTCACAGCAGTTATCAGATGTATCATTTTATTACAGTGGGTGTATAACAGTTTTGATCGTTGGAGACATACATATATCCGGCTCTCAGGTGTGACATAATATACCAGGCAGGTTCCAGGCTTTGTATTGCACAGCGTCACAGGCGAACATGCACATGAAAGGGCTTATAAAGCTGTAAACCCTCCTAATACACAAGGGAGGCGTGAGGCGTTACCCTGCCAATATGACCCACCATAGAATACAGAATTGTCCACCAGAAAATCACAGCTACTCCTAGAACGGGCACATCTCTACCTGTGCAAGAGGGAGGAAACCTGAAACATATGCGATTCCCTACATGTTAGGGGGAACCTGATTTTAAATAGTCTTTTGGGACTTCAGTTTGAAAATGTAAGAATAAAGCAAAGTGCACGACATGAATGAAACAATAAAGCTCTTCTGTCACCATCCCATACCAAATTAAAGCTTAATGAAGGTCAAGCGGTGTGACATCCGGGAGATCTCAGGTGGTGCAGACGCATCCTACCTCAGGTTCAGCATCTCCCCCCACCCCCCACACACGTTTATGGAAGGTAATCTATCCTGAGACAAAGGCATGCCGAGATTGTACACCGAGCTGCGCCTGCCCAGCTCAGTATACATTCTAAAGAGGTTTGCGGGCAGACAGGTAAGAAGCTTAGTTGGAGAAGAAACCTAGTGTGGCTTTTCTGCTGTATGAAGCCGTCTGTTACAAATGTTTTGTTTAAAAAAAGGTAAAGTTCTGCTTTAGGCCTCATTTACACTAAGAGCCGGCCCGTACGCATCTGTGCGGCGTGCACAGCCGTATCGGGCCGCTCCCGGGAAGGACAGGTGTTGCGTGCGATTGTACGCAGCAGCCTGTTCTTCTGTATGGGAGTACGCGGCCATACGCTCACCCGAGCGGCACATGGGTGCGGGTGTTCGTACTCTTAGGCAGACAGGATGGATCCTGTGTGCATCCAAGCACGGATGTACGGCCGCGTACTCCCATAGAGGACAGGCTGCTGCGTACAATCGCACGCAACACCTGTCCTTCCCCCTTGTGGCCCGATATGACTGTGCACGCTGCACAGATCCGTACGGGCCGGCTCTTAGTGTGAATGAGGCCTTAAGATGAGCACCTAAAGCTGGTCCATTTGCACGGCTAGTTAAGTAGTGATGCGCCGTTTGGTATGAAAACCGTGAACCCGCAACAGAATCCCATCCAATATAGATTCTCATCTGAACACAAAGTACTACGGCTCGATTTGTTGCCTTGGACAGCCGAGGGTACCCGGAATACAAAGCATGTCCACTGCATCCTTTTTGGATTTTGCACATAAATAATTTTTTTTGATAAGTTGTTCCATTTAAAGCCACAGTGAGAACAAAAACCACAAGATTGACACTTAAAAAGCGACAGCAACAAAAGACACGACGACTCTAACACTACTGTAGGCGTTTACTGGATCTTGGTGACAGCTTCATATATAGACTGGGCCACGTAGTCAAGGTTCTTTGTCGTTAGCCCGCACATGTTAATTCGACCGCTGGCCATCAGATAAATGTGCTTCTCTTTAATGACGTATTCAACTTGCTTGGCTACAAAAAATAAAAATCAATACAAATTCCGATCAGATTTTATATATCTAACTCTGGCAATTTGTTCATTTCACAGAATTGCAAAGACAGATATTAGCTGAGGAAGAGAAGGCTGCACTCCTTACATTGTCACCCTGAGCTACTAGAAGCTGGAATGTTGGACTTCTGGAGCAAGAAACCATTAACTGGTATCAGATTTTATTTATTTTTTTACATTATAAAAATAAAAGCAGCGCTAAAGAGAAAGCAGATTGCCAACATCCATGCATGTAGGAAGGACAATGTATTATTTCGTGGATGTAAGAGAAGAGGATCAAGGGGCTTCTTTTCTTAAAACCACACCCCCCCCCCTGATCACCAGACATTCACCTACTCACTCACAAATGCATTGCGTGCATGTAAACTGCATCTCACATCTGAAACTAAGTGTCTGCTAGATGGTGGAGTTGTAGTCCCCACCATCCTCCCCCCACCCTAATATCTCACACAAAGACCACAAATCTGTAAATTGGAGGCAAACAGAGACCTGCACACAAGGACTATTATCCCTTTTATACTGGCCTCCTGTGCCCCTTAATGCAATATATACATTTACTTTATCCCCCCCCCCCATCCACAATTGCCTTCTCATATACAGTAGATACAAGTTAAGTGTCCTCCCTACCAACTGCACCACTCTGGTTACACCTATTACCACACCTTGTCAGACTGACAAGCCAGGGAGTCCTCTTCTCCTATCCCTACCCCCATTCAACCCTATAACCTTTCCACTTAGTAGGATCAGAATATAGGTTAAACGTTACACATCGAATGTATCCACAGTAGACAGTCCCGAAATAAACAGCCTGGCCAGAAAAAGTATCACATACTCTAATATTTCGTTGGACCGCCATTAGATTTAATTACAGCACGCATTTTCTGTGACAGTTTTAATAAGCTTATGCAATGTCACATTTATTTCCATCCAGAGTTGTATTAATCTTTCACCAAGATCTTGTAGGGATGATGGGAGCAGGGCAGCCATCAGGGGGGGTACGGCCGATACTCATGTAAGGGGCCCGGGCAGCCTGGGGGGCCCACCCGGGTCCCTTACATGACTATCGGCCGACGGTAAAGGGCGAGGCCGACAGCACAGGGCCCCAACATTGCCGCTCCAGCGGCTTTGAGACAAGCTAGGGCCCCATCAGCGACGCTGCTCGTCTGATGTCGGACTGGCCGTGCGTCACTTCTGGCTGGTCCGGCGGCAGATGAGGCCATGTGTGCAGGTAAGAGGAGCTAGGAAGGGAGGGATGCAGCCCTAACCAGCCCACCTGAGACCCCTTCAGAGCCCACCATAGACAGTCTCAGATGGGCTGTGCAGCATCTATGGTGGGCTCTGCAGGGTCACTCTCAGGTGTGTCCAGTGCGTCACTAAACCCTGCATCCAGCGGCCTAAAGCCCTGTAAGGGACCCCAAAATTTCTGATGGCTGCCCTGGATGGGAGAGTCGGACCACTCTGTGTAAAGTCTTCTCCGGCACATCCCAAAGATTCACAATGGGGTTAAGGTCTGGACTCTGGTGGCCAATCCATGTGTGACAATTATGTTTCATGCTCCCTGAACCACTCTTCACAACTTGAACCCAACGAATCCTGGCATTGTCATCCTAGGATATGCCCAATGTGCCATCAAGGATGAAAAAATCCATTGATGGAAAACCTGGTCATTCGGTATATTCAGGTCAGCAGCTGACCTCATTTTTTTGGGGACATAACATTGCTGAACCTAGACCTGACCAACCCATATAGCTCTGACCTATTTGCTTAGCTAAATCCAGGTGGTGACTTTTTGGCCAGGCCATGTAGTTACTGTCATACAAGCCGTCTGGAATTCCAGGACATTCGTGGTTTCCATTTCTTGACTGCTGTGATAGTTTGCAATTTAAAATCAACAGCATGAATTTGGAGCGCTCAGTTTTACAGGATGAGGAAAGTGTTTGTAAATGTATTTATTCACCTACAGGGTCAAAAGTAGACCGATACTTACGATTGAGACCAGTGAAGCTGAACATTCCAATCTGCTCCACGATGTGCTTCCAGGTGCCTGGGGTATTGAGAGCCTCCAGTCTTGACTTAAGTTCTGCTCTCATGAGTAGGACACGCTCTGCCATCGTCTTCACATTGTCCCTCCTAAAGTAGAAGTGAGAGGTATCAAACACGACAGGCTGAGCTCAAGACCGAAAAATATATTTCCTGCTATGTAGGCGGGGCCCTGGGTAGAAATCGTGAATCACTACAGTTTTCTGCTACAAACGTGAAGATTGTTGTCACTGCTAATAAGTGACACTAAACTCAGGAGATAAATCTTAGAAATTAAAAGTCCCTTAAAGTGACATTAAACCCTCAGATTTTTTAACATAAAATACTGTAATGTGCGCCTTACTGTAATCCATGGTTGTGTCCCTTCTCTTTGCTGCTCTTCCTTTTAAATCCTCATGTCTTCTCATGCTGGGGGAGAACTTCCCTTTGCAGCTGAGTGCCTCTTCCTGTAGTGCTGGCTCAGGTTGTGAACCTTCACACAGATACCATGTATCCATTTCAGAGACAAGGCAGTCTGCTGCAAAACAAGTTCTGCCCAGCATAAGACATAAGGATTTAAAAAGGAAGAGCAGCAAAGAGAAGGGAAACAACCATGGATTACAGTAAGGCGCACATTACAGTATTGTTCTATGTTAAAAAATCTGAGGGTTTAATGTCACTAACTATTAACAGAAATGTATCTTATTTGTGTATCACTCGGCTGTAGATCCTCAAATCATCTCTGAATTGGTGCTGACACTGTCCTTCCTTCTGGAGGGGGGCTACTTTTGTTCCCCATGGTCCCTGTGTGTGTTGTAAAGTAGCCACCGCTCCAAGCTCCCTCCTGTGATGTACTACAATCTCATCTTAGTTTAACAATTTGTATTGAGATTGTATTCCATCAGGGAAGTGAGCTTGGAGCGGTGACTACATAACACACACACAGGGACCACCTACCGTGTTTCCCCGAAAGTAAGACATCCCCCGAAAATAAGACCTAGCGCTATCTTCGGGGATGTCTGTAATATAAGACCTACCCCGAAAATAAGACCTAGTTCGGGGTAGGTCTTATATTACAGACATCCCCGAAGATAGCGCTAGATCTTACTTCCGGGGTAGCTGTGAAGACCGGCCGCAGCTCCCTCCCGCCCCCTCGCCCGTCCACCTACCCGCACGCTGTTGCTCTCTGGATGACGACATCAGAGCGGAGAGGCAGCTCCCTCCCGCCCCCTACCCGACACGCCCCCCCTCCAGCAGCACGCATGCCCGCCCCCTCGTCTCCTTAGTTCCGAGCGGAGAGGCAGCTCCCTCCCGCCCCCCTGCCAGACACGCCCCCCCGGCCGCACGCATGCCCGCCCACCTGTTTGTGGCTCCCTGGACGGCAGAGCACAGCTGCAGCCAGGTAAGACATCCCCCGAAAATAAGACCTAGTGTCTTATTTCGTGCAAAAAAAAAAATAAGACACTGTCTTATTTTCGGGGAAACACGGTATTAACAAAAGTGTATCTTATGTGTGCATCACTCGGCTGTAGATCCTCACATTGGTGCCTATACAGTCCTTCCTTCTGGAGGGGGGCTACTTTTGTTCCCCCATTGTCCCTGTATGATCTGATTGGATGCCGGCACTGTTCAGGTGTTTTGAGAGCCAGCGGGGCCGACGAGCAAGATACTGAAGCTTGGCCCAGCGGGAGATTCCTCCATCCACACAGTTTAGCGTAGGTGGAGGAATCTGTTGCACATTTCCCATCTGACAATAGAAAATCTGCAGATAATCTATAGGTGCTAGTGGTCTATATGTCCAGCTTTCCTTTTGTTCAGCCCACATTGATTCCCTGCCGTCTGCTCTGTTATTCAGCAGCTACTGACCGACTTCTGCAGAGCAGCCCGTCAGCAACCTACCTGCTCGACAAAAGTCCATTTCAATTAGCATTTGTGGAGCAGGGGGTTGCCAGCAGGGACACCCAAGGCTAATAACTAATTCAGCAGGAATCAGATAAAGTTCAAGCAGTGTCTAGCCAGCTTCACTCACATGTACAGAGATTGCCAGACAAAGCAAATTAAAACAGAAAATGTAAGCTCTAATTTGGGGGGTTACCCCTCTTATCCTGTGGCCTTAGGTCACGTGTACCCTATGGGGAATGCAGCGTTGTAATGAGGGACAAGCAGTGGTCGGGGGAATGCTTCCTTATCTCAACAGGCCAGATAGAGAAAGACAAAGGAAGGTTTGCCACGTTGATTGTTCCCTCAGCTTATCACATACAAAGTCCATACAGAAAGCCAAACAGATTTCTTGAGTGAACCTGCGGTATGGGAACTGCCGAGGCGGATTTGTTTTTAAAGTCGCAGGCTCTGGAGAGGCCATCCTGATCCTGGAGTTAAAAAGTTCAGACTTCACTGGCTGTATGTACGTTTATGAATGGTTAAGTACTCCGTAGAAAGTGAAGCCAGCATCAGGATAACAGGCATCAAGTCTGTACTTCTAAAAAGCAGGTCAGTGGCTCTCATATGCACCGTGACAGGTTCCCTTTAATGCCAGTTAAGAGTTCAGTCTTACCATTCATCAAACAGCTCCGGGGTAGTCAGAGTGGTGGCGACAATGCGAGCTCCTTGTGATGGCGGATTGGACCAAGTTGTGCGCACAATCTTCTCCATCTGAGAAAGGACGCGGCTGACATTATCGCTGTCTTTGCCCACAACAGTCAGATTTCCCACTCTTTCATCTAGCAGAGGAAAAATGACATTGTGTCACAAAAAAACCAGCCGAAATTTACACAGTGTACGGCCACCTTAAAGGAGAACTATGAGGTGAGTGCTTTTCACTCCCCTCATAGTTCTAGCCGACCTCTGACAATGAGACTGTCACAGGTCGGCTCAGTAGATCGGCAGGTGAGCAAACACATACCGGCGTTCGCTCACCTCTCGATCCTGTCACAGCTCTCTGCCGTGACAGGGGAGGGGCTGGATTCCCCCTTGCAATCCGATAGCGCTGACTGGCGGAACAGACGGGGGAGGGGGCGGGTACAGCTGGCTCTGCCTCTAGATAGGCAGAGCCAGCTGTCACTCACGCAGCTGGGCGGATCCCGGCACAATTGTCGGGATCCGCTTCAGCGTCTCAGTATACCGTGAGCTGTAGTTCGCGGTATACTGAGCTTAGGGTGACGGGAGGACGCTAGTTTGTGTCCTCCCGTTACCCTAAGGAGAACTATGGGGAAAGGCCCTAACCCCATAGTTCTCCTTTAAGGCGCATAATCCTCCATATCCTGCACTAGGCTACCCTTCTAGCTGAATCTTTGTAGTATCTTGTGGCAGTTTCAGAATTCAGGGGGTTCATGTACCAAAGCATCACCCACCCATTTAAATTAACGTGACAGGGAGGTTCACCAACGCAGCTTGTAGTCTCACCCAGAAAGAGAAAAGCCTGAAATCTAACAGCATCTATGGAATACTTTGATTAATGAAGCAATTAGAGTTCAGTTACAACATTTCCTGGATAGCAGCTGTTCACCGACAGTTTATTTTTGGATAGCGTTGATCTTTATAGTATGATATATATTTATTTCTAGCACATCTGAGGTGATATCCTGGGAGGGGAAAAAAAAACAAAAAAACACTACAGCAAATGTGTAGAGAAAACCCACATTATGACAGATGCATTCTGGGTCCTTTTTGGTAAAAAAAAAAAATATATATATATTTATTTTTAGTTTAAAAATGGGCTTTCAGTGCGTTCCAGGCATTTGGATGCGTTTTTAATGTGTTTGCAGATCCAGAGCAGGTAAAATAGGGCCTGCGCCAGTTTTTTCACCTGCTCTGGAACTGAACGCTGCTGTGTGAACTAGAGCTAAAAATACCGTAGGAATACATTGGACGCAGTTTTGATCCGGTCTGCACCTGCTCCGCGCTTGGTGTGAACAAGGCCTTAGGTTTATCAAATCAGTAAATAGAAGTTGCTGTGTGAATATCAAATGGTAAAACTTTTTCTTATTAAACGTGTCTTTTGACTCTACTGCTCTCCCCCCTCATTAAAAGCCGGAGGTCACAATGATGAAGAGGTTAGAACAGGCAGGTTGGGTACTCACTGTACAGGCCAAAGTTCTTGGAGAATGACTGAGCACAGAACAGCTCAAATCCTTGAGATACAAAGTAACGCACGGCCCAGGCGTCCTTGTCTAGATCTCCGGAGGCAAATCCCTGATACGCAGAGTCAAAGAATGGGAACAGGTATCGTTTCTGTAAACGGCAAGGAAGAAGAAAAGGTCATGGCTGATTAACTTCAACAGTATTACTTTACGGTCAGGGGCTTTGGGGAAAATATCAGGAGTCTGTTACATTTCCCTTTTTAAAATAGAAAAAGAGATTGCGTCCTCAATCTACACAGCCACTGTTATGAATGAACAGGAAGCCTCTATTCCGAGTGCTCCCGCCCATTCATAAACTGTGGAGATAGTGTCAGTTACCATGTCCACAATCATGAATGAACAGGAAGTGATGTAGAGCACTTCCTGTTTGTAAAGAATTGGCACAATAAGCATACTATGTCCTCCATTATATAGAAACACTCAGCAATCAGCTAATCGCCGAGTGCTTGTAAGCCGCTCTCCATCCTGACTCGCCTGTCACAGGAGGCAGTCCGGGAGGTGAGATCGGCCTCCCGTCCCGCTCAGCATCCTGAATTCTTCTCTCCTCCCCACTGGGCACCGGTCTGTGTCCCCTTGGATCCCCGCTGCCTCTGCTGACACGGGCGTGTGAGAGCAGCGGGCATCAGTGAGGACACAGACCAGCGTCAAAGAAAGAAGCAGCCGTTCACTGAATTGTCGGCCGTTATGATACGTTCGGCATTTTTCCCAAAGTGCCATTTTCGGCCAAAATGTTTTGGTGCCCAAAGTTTCGGTGCATCCCTAACAAACAAAGAGTCTGGATATTGGTTTTCAGAACTGCACATTTGAGTCACTATTGGATTATTTAACAGCAAATTCTGACCATCACATTTTTACATTTGTTCTTCCATAATTTATCTCTGCGATGTCACATACGAAATGTGGGATCCCCTTTAAGTGGTCTGCAACCGGTCAGCATCCCTGCACCATGGCAGAGATTACAGGGTGAGCCCCAGAGACTGTGTATCCAATCAGACTGAAACGTTTGCACTCACAATGGAGGAACAATAAAGAAGAATTATGAAACTAAACCCAACAAACGTTTACACATTGCAGCCTCGGATCAAGAGGATGTGGTGGCTGCATTCCTTATTTTTTCCCCCCACTTAGGGGATCCTACCAGTAACACACTTCCTGTCCTAAGGTGACAACACTCACTGCACTGCATCTATGGAGAAGCTGCATTGTCACCCTGAGCTGCTCACCCCTGGTTTGGACGACAGAACACTTCATTCACTGCATCTCCATAACAATGACACCTTTCCTATAGAGCAAGGGTAGCAAACCTCCGGCCCTCCAGCTGTGGTGAAACTACAAATCCCATGATGCATCTCTTTGGGAGTCATGGCTGTGAGAATCTTGCAATGCCTCATGGGATTTGTAGTTCCACCACAGCTGGAGGGCCGGAGGTTTGCTACCCCTGCTATAGAGGATTTCATTTCGCACTTCTAATTCTGCAAATGGAGACACTCAGGCTTCATTACTTTGGATCACTAACTCATAACAAGTATGCAGATGATTACTTTTGACTTTGCTGAACTGCATACCTGTAACTTGAAGTACTGAAACCAGAAGGAAACCCAACAGCCAGGCTACTAACATTGCACAAGGTCAGCAGTGGCAGCCCCCCGGGTTTTTTTTTTCCAGACACGGTTTACTTAAACCAAGAAAAAAATAGAGTGTGGTAAAAGCAGGAGTTCTGCAAATGACGCCATTTACTTGGATCCACACAGCACCAGCCAAACACAAGAGAACGTCAGCTAGTCCCGGGCTTCCACTGAATGAGGAGTAATGGAAGCGGGTGTGCTGCCTCTTATAGCCACGACCTAACAGGCTCAATCTCCTTGATGTGCCCTCCTTGCTGTAGTCTGGTATATATTAAAATGTCCCGCAATCACAGAATTGTCATGCATAGGGCTGTATATTATTACAAAGGTTGTAACGCAAAGGGTTCTATTCTGCCACCCTCATTACAAAGGATAGTTCTTAGTATTAAAAAGGGAATGTACTGTAGAGACAAATCTATAATTCTACCACTTTATAGATCACTGGTTCGGCCTCATCTGGAGTGTGCGGTCCAGTTTTGGTCACCAATCCACAGAAAGGATGTCCTGGAGCTGGAGAGAGTCCAGCGGAGGGCAACCAAACTAATTAAGGGTTTGGAGGACCAAAGCTATGAGACGAGGTTCTAAATTTAAACATGATCAGGCTGGAAGTGAGGAGATTAAGGGGGGGGGGGGATATGATTTTAATGTACAAGATGTTCAATGGGGATAGCAACATCAGCAATAAACTTTACGGTAAACTTCATAACAAAAGACTAGAGGCCACCACGTGAAACTGGTGGAGAAAAGATTTCAGCACAAGGGGCGAAGGGGCTTCTTCTCAGTGAGAGCGGTTAGGGTCTGGAAATCGCTGCCGCAGATAGCGGTATCAGCTGAGAGTGTTGAATCTTTCAAAAAGCACGTGGACGATTTCCTTAGAGACCGCAACATTCAGGGGTACAGGTACTCTTAAGAACACACAGGGACTCATACACACGCATATACATGCAGAGTCACATACATACAATAGGTTGAACTTGGATGGACCTGTGTCTTCATTCAACCTCAAATACTATGTAACTATCTATACAGTCTTCAAATGCAGCCTTCACTCCGGTCATACTGCCTCTTATGTCATTGCTATTGCTATAGGCACATGTAAAGTTACAAGAGGTGCCTGCCTTGGTTTCTGGTCAAAGCATTGGTATGCTCCAAGGATAACAATGATATAAATAATATTAGGGATGCACTAATACCGGTATTTCGGTATAGAGTACAAGTACCGATATTTCTTCTCTGTAATCGCTGATACCAAATACCGATACCGGAAGTACCATTCAGGAAGCCAGGCAGCATGTAATGACTCGCCACCCTGCTTCCCGATTAGCAGAGAAGCCGTCCCCATGCTTCTCGTCACTAGATGAGAAAGCATGGAGCCGGCTTTCTGGCCAATCAGGAAACTGGGCGCCGTGTAATGACTCGCTGCCCGGCTTCTTGATACCGGAAGTATCGCGCTAAGCATCGGAGCATTTGGCCAAGTACGAGTACTCACCCAAATACTCGGCATCGATACTAGAAGTAGTATGTAGTGTCTCTCCTAGCGGAGTCATTTGGAGCCATGCATTGCCGCTTTCTACCTTAAAACAACCTCCATGTGCACTTGAAGTGTTGTGGACCTTTCATCTTACCTTCATAACAGTGGCTATCTGCTTCCACTCGTCCTGGGTAGGGTCTGTTCCTGTAGGATTGTGTGCACATGCGTGCAAGAGAAAGATTGAGTACTCCGGAGCATTCT